ACGCCAACGACTGTAGTAGTCCCCCTGGCGACATAGCCAAATATTTGTTCCTCTGATAGATCTCACACCTTGCCACCATCTCCTCTACATCTCTATGCAGTTCCTTCTAGTAAAGCTCGGTCGCTAGTCTCTTGTAGGTCTTCTGCACTCATGAATGGCCCCCAACTGTGCTTCCATGAAGTTCCTAGAGTAAATTTGGGATGTTGATCGAGGTACGGGGAATCACAAATCTTCCCTGGTATAACAGTCTGTCTCCCTCTAATGAGTACCCTGGATGGCTACCCTCCTCTTTCAGCAATTCTGACATGATCTTTCCCAATTCTTCATTTCTAGCACTTTCTTCCATGATGGCCTCCCAGTCAAGCATCGAAGGAATGGATAGTGCCATCGTCTGCAGCTCCCCCATACATCTGGACAAAGCGTTTGCCGCCTTGTTCTCCACCCCTGATCTATATGGAATCTCAAAAAATGTACCCTAGCAACTTGGACAATCACTTTTGATGCTCTTCCGTCACCATCCGCTGTTCCAGCAGATATTTCAAGCTTCGCTGATCAGTCCTGACAATGAAATGCCTCCCAAGTAGGTAGGGCTGCTACTTCTGGATGGAAAAAATGATGACCATTAATTCTCTCTCGTAAATTGATTTCAGCCGGGCTCTAGCAGTCAATACCTGGCTGAAATAGGAAATGGGTCTACGAATCTGCATCAGTACTGCACCCAGCCCGTACCCTGAAGCATCTGTCTCCTCAATGAAGGTCTGAGTGAAATCTGGCAAGGCTAGGACCGGCACCGTAGTCATCGCCTTCTTCAAGCTCTCAAATGTTGATGTGGCCGCTTCCTCCCATAGGAATCCATCCTTCTTCAACAGTTCAGTGAGTGGTCATGCTATGGAGATGTACCCCTTAACGAACCTCCTGTAGTAACCCATAAGTCCTAGAAATCGTCTCAATTCCTTCAGATTTTTCCTCACTGGCCACTTTAGCATTGCTTCAATTTTGGATTGATCTGCTACCACTCCTTTTGATACCACATGGCACAAGTACTCTACACTGGTTTGTGCAAAGCAACATTTCTTCAAACTAGCCCTCAGGTAGTGCTCCTGGAGTTCTTCTAACACTCTCTTGAAATGCTCCCAGTGCTCCTCTTCTGTCCTGTTGTAGACAAGGATGTCGTCAAAGAATACCAGTACAAATCGTCTGAGATAAGGTTTGAAAACCTTATTCATAAGGGCCTGGAAAGTAGCGGGAGCATTGGCGAGGCCAAAGGGCATCACCAGGAACTCATAATAATGTCCTTCATGAGTTCTAAAGGCCATCTTGGGTACATCCTCTTTCATTCGGATCTGATGGTAACCCAGTTTCAAGTCAATCTTGCTGAAGATCACGGTCCCACTCAATTCATCTAGCAGCTCGTCAATGAATGATATAGGAAACTTGTTAGGTACAGTTTCCTTGTTACGTGCTCTGTAGTCCACACAGAAACACCAGCTGTCATCCTGCTTTTTCACCAATAAAATGGGGCTAGAAAAAGGACTGATGCTGGGTCTGATGATCTCTGCCTCCAACATCTCTCTAATCAACCTTTCTATTTCATTCTTCTATAACCGAGGGTAACAATAAGGCTGGACACTGATGGGTTCCACTCCCTCCTTCAACACTATGACATGCTCCTGCTCCCTCTGCGGTGGCAATCCTTGAGGTGGCTAAAACACCTCTTGGAACTGCTGAATCAATGTCTGAATGGAGAGGGGTATGCCTCCTCCCTCCTCCAATCTCGCTCCCTCCAAACTATGCAACTCCACCAAATACCCTCCGCCTGCCAACTAGACGTCCCTCACCATTATTTTAAGAGAAACCAAGGATTTGGAAAGCCCCGCATCTCCCTTAATCACTACCTTCCTTCCATCCACGGTCAACTCCATCGTGAGCGCTCCCCAATTCACTTTGGTGTCTCCTAAAGTTTGCAGCCATTTCATCCCCCTGTATCCCCTGGATCGTCAGTCACACTCCTCTGCAAATCCCCTGAACTTTCTCTACCTTCTACGTACCCATCATTACTCCGTAACAGCTAGTGTACATCAATCTCACTCTCAGTTGGTCGAAGACCTGGGTGGAAAAGAAATTGTGAGTAGCCCCACTATCAATCAGCACCACAACCTCCCTGTCCTCTATCTCTCCCTTCACTTTCATGGTGTGATTCGTAGTGAATCCTACCACTGAGTTTAGAAAATCTCAGCAATATCCAAGTGTAGCTTTTCCTCCATCTCCTCCTCTGTCTCCTCCTCACCTCCCTCAGTTTTCTCGTCATCACAGACGGTGAGAACCTGAAGAGTTCGATCCTTGCACCGATGCCCTGACATGTACTTTTCATCGCACCTGAAGCATAACCCCTTAGCCCTCTTCTCTTTCATCTCTTTCTCCGTTAGCCGCTTGAAATTTCCCCTGCTTCCTCCTCCTATCTTCTCCTTGGTGGCCTCTCGACTCCCTCCTATTATAGGACCTTTAGATGCTAGATGAGTGGTCTTCATCCTGTAAGTGCCCCCGGTGTTGCTACTCTTGGCTCCCTTCTCCAAATTCCTATGATTTTTCACCAGTTGGGCCAACTTCATAGCCTCCCCCAAGTAACAGTGCATCAAAACCTTCACTGTTGCTCGGATCTCTGCCTTCAACCCTTTCATGAAATTTCCCTCCAATATTGTATCTGAGTGTCACTCCACCCTGTTAGATAGGTGCTCAAACTGCTCTTGGTAGTCCGCTATCGATCCCTCCTGCGTCAGAGCAAAGAACTGCTCATAGAAATCTCCTCTCCGGTCGGTTTGGAAGCGTTATTATGCAGTCTTTGAATTCCCTCCTGTTCCTGATAGGCCTCCTCTGATTTCTCCACTGATACCACAACAAGGCTTCCTTCCAAGCACAATCCGGCTTCGGTCAGCTTCTCCTCCTCCGTTAGCCCACTGACGGCGAAGTATTGCTCCACCTTGTAAATCCACCCATACACATCTTCTCCTTCGAATATGGACATCTTCAACTTCCTCACCTTCTGGTCGCCCCTATTGCCCCGGAATCTTCCATAGTTTTCCCTCTCCTAAGTACTAGGTGCACCCCATGTTTCTTGGTTTTCTCTTGCTCTGCCATAGCCCAAACCCCTTTCGAAATCCCCCATTCTGTCTTCAAAATAAGCACCTTGGCGACCATAGCATCCCTCCGACTCAAGATGGGGTATTCTTCTTTATCCTTCCATGATTTTCACCTCATCTTCCTCCCTACGAATTTCTGAATTCATACTTTTTCCTTCCCCTCCGTTTTGGTTTTGAATCTCTAACATCTTCTTCATCATGTCTTAGAGATCGGTGACTTGTCCTTCCATGGAGGAAATCCTTTCCTCACCGTCGTTTTGATTTGATTCGTCACCCCTTCAAGCCTTTCTTTCAGAGCATCCACCTTTTTGGCCGCCATCGCAATGCGAAGTTTGTAAAATCACAAATTCTGGATTTGAAACTCCAAAAACAGCAATCCGCCTTTCTTCCGGACAAATATTCAACGTTGAAATTTGCCGAAATCAGCCCTCCACTGATCCCACGACTTGCTTTGATACCAATTTGATAGGAAGTACTTGAGTTCGCAAGTAATCCTATCAGATCTACTTGAGTTCGCAAGCAACCCTAATGCAAAATTGGTAAAAACAACGAGAATACCCAAGATCGGAGATGAAACAACCAAGAAAATAATATAACTTGATTAAATACTCAAAAGCAAAATAAGCTAGAAGAAAAGATACAATTGATCCTCTATTCGAGAGGAGGATCGTCTCTCCCAAATCTCTAGACAAGAGTCTAGATCCCAAAACGCCAACAAGACTACAAGAAAATAACCAAAGCATGTCTAGCCCTAATCCCTTCATGCCCTTTAAATAGCCCTCTCCACCTCCTTAAAAACTTCCTAATATAAGATAGTATTTAATTAATTCAAAAGATATCAAATCTTTTTAATTAATTAAATTCACTTTCCTAATATAAGATATTATTATTTAATGCTAAAGATATCAAATCTTTTTTTAATTAATTAAATCCAAACAAATTGGGCGTGGGCCCCTTCCTTAGGCGGTGTAGGAAGGAGGCGGTTTGACCCGCCTCTTGTATACAAGGGTCGGCCCCACCTGGACCGGCTGAGGTTGAGTCGGTTCCTGGGGAACCGACACATCATATCCACTCCAAGTCGCAAGCAGCCCACCTCCAGCACCATACTCAGCCTAACTCCACAACACACAGACGCCAAAGCCGACCCAATCAACTTCCCTGTCCGATCCCACTCAACAAACCCTAAGATAACACATTTTTAAAATCTGGTCTGATTTGTGTTGACCCGGAAACCCAAAAGTAACCCGAATGGAACTCGCATTCTTAAAACCTAGGTTTAAAAATATATCGCTTCGCCTTGTGCTCCTATGGGTGACTGCTTGCTCCAGTGGGTCGTTATGTCATTTTCTTTTGTTCTCTTCTCGACTTGATCTCATTGTCTTTTTCCTGATTGGCTCTTGCTCATTTTCTCTCGTCAGTTATGTAGTAGCTATCGGTGCCTATAGGCTACTTCTCGCCCCTTTAGTTTGTTGCCAGCAAACTTGGGGGCCCAATATATTTTTTATTTGTTTGTATCACTTTGCCTATATTGTATTTTAGGGTTTTTAACTAATTTTATGTTGATGGTTTTAGAGATTACTGGGATTCAAGTTTTTTTACGTCATTTTTTAGTTTTCACATACCTACGATAACTTGGCTTTGTGCATAAATATTGAGCAACATAAATTTATAAGCTCATATGGCACTTGGAATGAGTGGACAATGAATATTCAGAAAGCTGACTCAAATAGTTGGGATAAGGGCAAATATCATGATCCTTAAGGAAGAAATGCGTGCATTACTAATGCTATATCTGACTATAATGTTATTGCTGTAACATTACAGTTGACCGGCTTCCCATAATACATTCTTTTTCTACTTCAGAAATCAAACTCATTGACGTTCCTGAAATGAACTATACCTCTGAAGATCATCCTTATCCTCGTGGTGAAATTTGTGTAAGGGGGCCTATAATATTTCAAGGCTACTACAAAGATGATGAGCAAACGTAATTTTTTACCTGTTCTTAAATCAGATTTACCTCAAAATTTAGTGAAATTGAATTTTTTTTTTATGAAAATGCACAGGAAGGAGATCGTTGATGAGGAAGGATGGTTGCATACGGGAGATATTGGTTTATGGTTACCTGGAGGACGTCTAAAAATCATTGACAGGTAAAGTAAACCTTACTGTTTCATTTCGTGTCTTTTGAACTTCGTAAATTTTTTTAATATGATAAAAATTCACCATTTGCATTCTTCTTAAAGTTATACTTTTTTTTTTCTTTCTTTCCTTCTCTTCATGGATTTAAAACTGCAACTGAAGGTCTTGTTGTATTACGTAGATGTATCCCATCAATCATCCGCTGAATGGGGCTACAAGTTTCTATATTTCAAGAAACAGTTTTTACAGAAACGTTAAAATATTAATTTCTAAGGCCTAGCAAAATTAGGGTTCTTTAAAATTAGCAACTTCAATTCATTTGTTATTCCTGGGATGCGTGGATAGGTTTGCTTTGATTTATATAAGCTATGCTTTGATTGTGTCTCTAGCAGAAATGGAAAAAATTTGCATTTATGCTTTGTGGCTAAGCAGTGTGTTCTGTACTGGACAATTTGCTTCATTTTGTATATTTGTAACTCTGGCTATTTGATTATACTCTTTGCTATTGGCTAAAGAGTTAAATTCGTTATCTGATAATATTACTAATAGAATTTCTCCTATTGAATTTGGCATATTTAAATGTTGGAATAATAGCTAGACTCTCAATAGGTTAACATAGTGTTCCCCTAGACATGGATCTTTAAGTATCAGGAGGTTCAACATAAATGTTTGATGATGCCTGAGATGGATGTGCATGGGGGACAGCAACATCCAACAAACCTACAACAACAGTAGAAGATACTAACTAAAGAGAAGAAATTGAAGGAGTATTCAGAGAATGAGAACATCCCATAGGAACTAAGGCTGATGGAGCATTTCCCAACAAGTTGGAAGGATCCTATTGATTATGAGAGCTAACCACACAAAATCAGCCGCAAGCGAGCAATCCTCAACATTAGGGCCTCTAGACAAAATTCTTCTAAGTTTTAAGTGGGTCTTAAGACAATTAGTATAATCACGACCAAAGACTTTGCATTAAGAACCCGGTCCACAAATAGTCGGAAGTCCAACATTAGCAGCATCCACTTACATAAAAATTGATTCTAAAAAGTATAGTTTAGATTGATTAATATAGTGGATACAAAGTGAGGGAATACAACTCAAGCTGTGGTAATAGGAGGCTCCTTAGAATTATCAAATTTGGAGAACTCTTTATCATGTACATTGATAGACCATTCTCATAATATGAGCATCAAGAGAAAATCCTTTAGTAAATTGTTTGCCAAGATAGTGTGGTAATTACTTGGCAGCAATCAAAATCAATTAGAGCTGTCAAAGAATTATCTCTAAGCTTTGACGGCCAAGACAAATTTTTCAAACAAAGTGTAGGAAAAAGAAATTATCGGTGCAGGAAGTTTTGTTTCAAAAAATAGGAGTGGGTTCACCCTGAAGTAATGGTGTGTGTCACGACCCGGCCCGGTGAGTTTGCATAGACGAGACGGGAACGAAAGTCAGACAGTAAAAGTTAAAACATTCACATAACATAACTAAAACCTCTCCAAACATATAGAAATAACCATTAAATATTCCAAGTAAATTTTTTTTTTTCTTTCTTTTCCTCTATCATTCAAAATATCAACATAAACATCTCCAAACATATAGAAATAGCCACTAATTTAGGTTTTTTTTTTATAAAAAAAATTCTTATTTTCATTCCTTTTAAGTTCAGTATGTGGTTTTAAATCTATTATGTTCTGGCAATTCGGTCACGGTATTTAGCTTTTTGAATGTTTTCTAGTTGCCTAAGACATGTCTGTGTTGACTACAATCAAGTATTGGGATGATTATTTATTTTGAGAGAGATCTGGGTTGTTTTATACACTCCAAATGACAGATTGTTTTCCATGTTACACAATATGGCATAAGATCGACCTTCATCACACTTTCTGAATTGTATTCAAATATATGTAGCAATTTTTTAATCTCATATGATTACTTGATCTCTAATTTATTGATTTTTGTTAGTGCACTATCAGTGCATATCAGTAGACTTAATTTGTTCGGGTAATAAAATAATATGTAAATGGAGTTTTCTCATTGCAGTCTGAGCTTTTTTATACTGCAGGAAAAAGAACATTTTTAAGCTGGCTCAAGGGGAGTACATTGCTCCTGAGAAGATTGAAAATGTATATGCGAAGTGCAAGTTTATTGCCCAGTGCTTTGTATATGGTTAGTTATTTAATAATTTGGTTTTGTATTGAGCGTGCTTAACCCCACATAGTGAGATAAAGGATTGATGTTGTTGTTGTTATATTGAGCATACTTAGAGTGAGAGGATCCCTCGTATTCAGGTTATGGTTTTTTTGTTTTTGTTTCGAAGTAAGGTTTGGGGGTTGTTGATTAAGGTATTGTTACCTCTGCATTATATATATATAAAACCGTACAGGGTATGGCAAGTAGTTGATATATGTAGCCTTATCTTTGCATTTTAGAGGGATTATTTTCATGTTTTGAACCTCAGCTGACCAAACAATTGCTTTTAGTTCCACCCTCAGTTTTTATTAAAGTTGAGCCTCTGATTTCTGCGTCATGAATTCCATGAAAATAAATGTGAATATTCACATTGCTACTTTATTGCAGGTGACAGCTTTAAGTCTTGCCTAGTTGCAGTAGTTGCAGTTGAACCTGAGATTTTGAAGATGTGGGCTGCAACAGAACGAATCCAGGTCAATCCTCTGTTACTCTTGCTTTAGTTTCAGTTAAAGGCCATTTCCTTCTTTTTGCGACTAGATCTTACTCATTGGTTAGTTCTTTTACTGATTCCTCTATGAACTATAATTCTATTTGATTGTAATCAGGAGAGTTTTTCTTACAATGTAAAGGTGCCTGAAAACTTTACTATTAGGGATCACAAGCATTCATGTTCTATAATAAAATATAGCAACTTAGATCTCTCTGATATTATTTTATTCAATTTTTGATCTTTAAAATGACTCAAAAACTGCAGTATGACAGCCTTGAACAACTGTGTTCTGATCCAAGAGCACGAGCCGCTGTACTTGCTGAGATGGATGAAGTTGGAAAGCAAGCTCAGGTCATTTTATAATATGTAAGGTTTCGTTTGGGAAACGTCTTTTTTAGTGCTTCTTAAAATAACTTTTTAGTAAAAAAGTAAAATTTTTGTACTAAAAAGCTGCTTTAAGAAGCAATAAGAAAATTGTCTCAAACGAAACCTAATTGTTCTTTCTGCTCTCACTTTGCAAAACTTAAATCATCAGTAGAGAAAGTTCTAATTTTCCAATCTTTTTAACAGCTGAGGGGTTTTGAATTTGCAAAAGCTGTTACTCTAGTACTGGATCCTTTCACCATGGAGAATGGACTCCTCACCCCAACATTCAAGGCAAGTAAACTCAATTCAAAAATTTTTTTTTTGGGTTACTTTATAACCATTTTCTTGCAAAATAGAGCGACCTTCTCACCCCAATATTGTGTTTTAATAGATCAAGAGGCCACAGGCAAAGGCCTATTTTGCAACAGCAATTGCAAATATGTATGAAGAACTGTCCAAATCTTTTCCATCTCCACAGAAGTCATCATTATGACCCCTATGTTGTTAATGAGTAGATAAACACATTATTTATCAACTTGTATCAATAAATAAAATTGTATTTGTATTGATGGTTTTAACATATGGTTTCTTTTGAAAAATCTATGAACCATGTTGAATGAAAATTTGAAAAAGTAAATGAAGTAAACATCTCTCCTATCTAAATCAAAAGGAAGTTGACTCGCCTTTAATGCCACCTGATTTGCAACACATGTACAAACAATCAAAAGGCAAAAGAAAACTCATTTAAAATTGAAAATTAAGGGTTTTGTGCACATTTCAATGATAATGCTCATGCAAATAATTAAATACAAGTGTTTTAAAGCTTCGTAAGCATCGTAATATAAATATTCAAACTCAAGTATGCCACATTAATAAGTATGTTATTTTTTCGAGAAGAATGCAACAACCTTGAGAAGCATGTTATTATATTGAGAAGTATGCCACTGCCTTGAGGGCGTGCAAAAAACGAAGAAAAGGGTGTCGCTTCGAGAAGCATGCATCAACCTTAAGAAGTGTGTTGTTGCCTCAATCTCTTTGAGAAGTATGTCATGGCCCTAAAAAGTATGCGAGTCTTGAAAATTGTGCAAACATGTTAGGTAAAAAAAGTTGATAAGACTCAAATAATAAGACAAAATTTCCCAAAATCTTCTATGATGGTTGTGTTGGAAGAAAATGGCAACTAGAGGTGTTAATTCTCATAAAATTGAATTCTTTCACAACAAAATATAATTTTTTTTTTTAAATTGATTTTAATTTATCTCTAATGATGATTGTGTTAAAAGTGATTCTTTAAATACATCCAAATCTAAAAAATAATATATATAAAGTAACTTCAATATAACTTTGATGACCAACGTGTTAAAAATAAATATCGACCAAAGGGGTCAATCCACAAAATTTTTAAGAATTATAAAATTCATTGTCTAAAAGCTAAATATTTAGAAAAAATTAATAACTCAAAACATAAAATAAAATTTATCCTACCTTTGAAATTATTTGACAACGAGGGCAATGAATTATAGAATAACTTTAGCTCACAAAGGACAAATGACAAATGTCCAGTCAAGAATATTATTAAGATATATTCTCAAATAATATTCTGTTAGTAAGGACGTGACAATTGTCTTCTAACCAATTATTTAACCCAATGGTCTAGCCCAAATGGCTCTATAGCTAAAGCATTTGTGATCAGTGATCGTATTGTATGTCTCATTATTTTTACACTTTATACTTTAATAGATAGAAGTTCTTTGTTGAGTTTGATTTGTCAAACTCACTCGTTGTTACTTTTTATAATAGGCCCTATTTTAGTGGACCGTCATCTAGGCCCTATCATAATATTTAGTGGACCATCACCAAAGGAGCCGAGCTATCAACAATTGACTATATTTGATATTTGATATTTTGTAGTATATTATTATATATTTATTTTGAGAATTGGATAGTTTCTTTCATATCATTTGTTTCTTTCTTTTTTTTTTTTTGTATTAGTACTATTACTTTAATGTGTTGTTCTTTGAATTCATATTAATGAAATGAATATTTAGTTTTAACCAAAAAAATAAATAAATATTTAGTTTCTTTGAATTCATATTTGATTATATTATTGATTTATGCACTTTTTCCTACTTGTTAAGTCCACACATTTTATTTTATTTCTTCATTGGTCCCCGTATTGTCGGGGTGAATAACCTTCTGGAGTTGGGATGTGATAATATATTCTCAATATTGATTGAAAGTTTTTGAAATAAATTTTATTTGATCATATTTAAAAAATTAATTTGAAATCTGAAGTGTGGGTACTTTGATATGAAATCATCCTTTGGATATATTTATCTAAAAAATAAAATAATATATATATTTTAATTTGAATATTAAATTTCTTCATTTAAAATGTTATATTATAACACGTGATTTTAGAATTTATATATAAATCCGCGCGCATGAGGCGGGCTAAGGTTCATAGGAAGCGTGGCGTTGATCTGGTCCGGCCGAGGCTTTGGGCTCGACAGCAAAGTGAGAGTGGAGTATAAGTAGTAGAGGCGGCGACCGGTGGTGATCCCGCCGTTCCCTATCTCCGATGTATCGAGCTATTCCTGGTAAATCCTCTCTCTCCCTCTTTCTCTTACACACACACATTCCCGCCCAATATGCCTTTTTTTTTCTTCTTTTTTTACTTTTTGGCATCAGTTATGAGGCTTGGAGCTTCAAGATTTGGAATTCGACTCGTTGTCTCGATTGGTTTGTCTGCTCGGCTTCTGCAGCCATCTTGAACATGCGGTGGATGACTGATTGGCGCCTTGGGAGTTTGAATTGGAGTGATGGTTGGGTGGATCGGCAGCGGATGAGTGTATGATCTGGCGTTGGGGCTGCAGATCTTTGTAGAGGTTGTTGGCGTGGTTTTCATTGCGATTTTTGTTGTATTACAGTATTAGGATCTCTGATTATGTCAAATTCCGTGCTTGAGATAATCTGAATTTTGGATATGCTGCCTTTGTACTCAATTGCAAACCTAATAGCAATAAAGTTGTTCCCAACGCCTAGAAATATATCTTTCTCGGTTATGTGGGCAAACCAAAAGAGGTACAAATGCTATATACCTAAGAAAACAAAAACATTAATTTCCATAGATGTAACGTTTTTTGAGAATTAACCTTTTTTTTTTGGGGAGAAATATTCCCCTTAGGAAGATATAGGAAGAATGAAATCTTGTTTTTTTTTTTTTTTCTTTATAATCTTGGGTATCAACAAATACCACTAATCTTCCTAGACCCAGCAGTATTGAAGTTATTGAAACCCCTGCTCACTTGATCCCTTGACACTCTCATGAGCTTTGCATTTACTCTCGAAAGAAGAATTTTCAAAGAAGTGAAATTTCTCTACATCTAGACACTTGTCATGAATCCTATTTGGACTTAATAAACTCAAAAAAGAATATAGTCTCCAGCCTACTTGAGGTTGAATTCCAAAAATAATAGATGAAGCTCATAAGAATAAAAAATGGAGAGAGAGGTAATCAGAAGAAGAAATGCAAACCCTTGAAAAAATGAAACTTGGGAAATTATTTAAAAACACAAGAACAACATTCTTGTGGGATGTAATTGGATGTTCACGATGACATATTGGTCTAATAGTCCTATAGAGAGATATAAAGCGCGGTTGGTTGAGAAAGAATTCGCCCAAATCTATGAGATCGACTATTTTGAAACTTTTATTCCTATGACAAAATTTAATACTATTCAGACTATTCTATCAATAGTAGTCAACCAGGATTAGTAGCGTTATCAGTTGGATGTTAAAAATATTTTTCATAATGGTGAATTAAATGAGGAAGTCTAATTAGATCATCTTTTTGGGATCAACGACTCTTGGACGGCAGGTGTCATTTTGCATATTGAAAAAAAAAAAAAATTTCGACTTAAACAATGACCTAATGCTCGATTCAAATGATTCATTAAAACTGTGAGTCAACAATATTTTCAACTAGTTCAACCTGATTACACATTGTTTTAAGAACACAAGGATGGAAAGTATACTATTTATATAGATTATTTCATTGTTACGGGAGATCAAGATTTGAGATAATTATCCTAAAAAAAAAAACTAGTAGTAGAATTCAAAATAAAAAATCTTGGGCATCTCAAGCACTTCTTTAGAATGAAAATCTCAAACAACAACCAGTTTTACCATTTCTCAAATAAAAAAAGTCTTGGATCTCTTAAAAGAAATTGGTTTGACTTGAAGTAGATTATTCGACACTTCTACAAATCTTATTAATTATTATTATATTGACTGATAACAACATTAGTTACCCCGTGGATAAAAGAATATACGAAAGGTTGGTGATAAAAACTCATCTATTTGGCATATATTATCAATTTGGCAAGTCCCTAGATGCATGTTCTTTATGAAGAACACATGAATGTTGTTATTAGAATTCTCGAATATCCCAAAAAGAAGTCCGGGAAAATGGTTGTTCTTTAAGAAAGAGAATCGAGAATTATAGAAGCCTATATTGATATTGATTGGGCATGATCTGTAGTTGACAATAAGTCACTTCTAGATATTGTATATATGTATGTGGCAATCTTGTAGCTTGGAGAAGCAAAATATAAAATATGGTGAGCAGAACTCGGTTCATTAGCCAGTGGGACTAGTGCAAAATTAATCTAGCTCAAACTACTCCTAGAAAAACTTAAGGTAAATATTAAAACTCACAAGATACTTTATTGTGACAATAAAATTGCTATGAATATTATTATACCGCACAATCCTTTACATCCTAATATAATTAACATGTGGAGATTGGTCAACATTTCATTAAAAAGAAAATCTTTAACGTGGATCCATGCATTATGCATATTGCTTCCTCCAATCAAACTATTGATGTTCTGGCCAAACGATTGATTAGACATCTTAGAATGAGAAGTTAATAAACAAACTCGTTTTGTTGGATGTTTACAAACCAACTTGAGGACCAGTGTTGAATAATTCCTTATTACAGTTATCTATTCTTTCATTCTAAAATTGGCAGCAGCTAGGGACTCTTGCATATGGTGGAGTCTGGATTTAGCAAGGGAATTGCCGCAGCTTGGGCTGATTCTGCACAGTGGCGGCATCCCAACTAGGCAAGGTGAGGTTCAACTGTAATAGCTGGAATATTTCTGGATTTGGATCCATCTGTTGTGGCTTTTTTTTCTCGCCTTAGATCATTGACATGGCTCCCCTAGATTGATTTCTCATGACTACCGATTTTGGAGCTGATTTAGTTGAAAACTTTTATGTTTTTTTTGACGTGTAATTGCTGCCATAATTTTTTTTTCCTTTGTAGTTGGGATATGATTTACTTCTTCCTAATTTTACTCATTGTAAAACCATATAAATAGATTTACATTCAAACCTAATAAAACAACGGAATATTTGTTGATTTTCTTTCATATTTCTCTTCTGGTTACTTCTTTAATAGGTTTCGATAATATTTTTCTGGGATTAATGTGTAGACGGGTAATTCACATTTTGTCCTACTTTTTCCTTAGCAACTAGCCTTAGTTTCCTTCTGTTTGCCTACTTTTACTTCACAAACCCAATTTCATGCTGTTCCTTTATTGATTTATTTTTTTGATCACAGAAAATGTACACATGTTCTTTAGTTGATGATAAACATTCGATCTAGCCTTGACTCTAGTATAGTGGTATTCAGTCTATAGTTTTGGGGAATTGAGCAAACTTTGTTTTTTTACATGTTTCATATTGACAAATGGGTCCTCTTTACTTCCTCTATCAAAGCGTAGTATATAGTGCTAACTATACATATGTGCATCAAGAATTGAGCCATATTCTTGTTTGTTTGTGGCTATGATAGGAAGTACTTGTAGATCTCGAGTATTTCCTATCAATCTTCGGAAAACAGTGAGCTTTCTAAAAAAAAATCCGCACAAAACCACTAAAACAGTAGATAATTTGTATTATTTGATGAAAGAGAAATGGAAAATAGCAAGATACAATTGATTCTCTATTCTAAAGGAGGATCGATCTCTTCTAAATCTCTAGACAGCGCTAGAGCCCAAAGAAAACCTAGATCTAAGTGATCTCAAATTTCAGTCAAATTCAAGATGCCATAACCCTTGTAAAACAAACTATTTAATGCATACAAATCAAAAGGAAATCCCTAAACAGTCCATACATTCAAATTTCCCTCCCAATTCTCTCAAAAAACCTTCCAAAATAGCTCCCATGGACCTCGCGGCATCCGTGACATGCATAGGAGGTGGAGAAGTTCCGCCTCTGTTGCACTGGGCTGGTCCTGTGTGGGCCGGCTGAACCGGTCCAATGGACTGGTCTAACAATATTGCCCTCCCAAAGAACCACCTTGTCCGCAAGGTGGAAAGACAACACCCTCCTCCTTTCCTTCTTCATCATAAACGATACGAACATGAAGAGTTCAATCCTTTTACATGTGTCCTTTTACATGTTTCCCGCCATATGCTTCTCGTCACATCTGAAACCGATCTCCTCTGCTCTCTTCTCATGTAATTCTGTTTCTGTGAGCTTCTTGAAGTTATCTCCAGATTTTCCTCCGGTAGTCTTCTTCTCTGGAGTCTCCTTACGAGTACCCGGTGTTGGCTCCTTGGGTGCCAAAAAGTCGTGGTCATTTTGTATGAGCCTCCTGAACTGCTGCCTCTTGCTCCTTTTTCCAGGTGCCTTTGATCCTCCACCAATTGAGCTAGCTCCATAGACTCTCCCAAGTCTCGAGGTCCCATCACTCTGACTGTTGCGCGGATATTTGGTTTTAGTCCCTTCATAAAGTTCCACTCCATTACAGACTCTGGAAGCCGATCCAATCGACTTGCGAGGTACTCAAATTGCTCACGGTACTCCATCACTATCCCCTCCTGCATTAAAGAGAAGAGCTGCTCGTAGAAGGCCCATCCCCTGCTGGTTTGGAAACGTTCCAACAGGCAGTCCTTAAACTCCCTCCAGGTCCTTATTGGTTGCCTCGTATCCCTCCACTGGCACCATGCTAAAGCTTTCCCTTCCTAGCACATCCCGGCTGCCATCAGTCTTTCCCCTTCCGTCAACTTGTTGACAATAAAGTACCTTCCCACCTTGTAGATCCACCCATGTGCATTATCTCCCTCAAAAATATGCATCTTCAGCTTCCTCACCCTCATATCACCTCCGTTCCCTCTGTTCCCTTCATAATTTCTTCTTCCCCAAGGGGTTGGTTCCCTCCAAGTGTCCCAATCATCCCTTCTACGTTCGTGCCCAGACCCTTTATCAAATTCCCACCTTCTCCTTTTAAATTCAGCGCCCATTGTATCATAAGAGACCCCCCTTTCAGATGCAGTCCCCCTTTGGACATAATTACCCCTTTCCCTTTCAAATTCGGCACCTCTTTGATCAAAATCAAAGTCATCGTCTTTCCAATTCAGCCCATCTTCTTTCAAATTTAACATCCCTCTACTCATGCCCAACCCCCTCACATCTCTTCACATACTCTCTACCGGACTCCTCCCTAGGAATAGGTTCTAAGAGAGGTATTTTCTCTTCTCCCTTTTGAGTCTCCACCTTATGATCTCCCCTTTGCCTGATTGGCTAGGGTTTTTCCCATCTCCGTGGTTGTCGGCACCTTCCCTCATCTCCGACAGCAATATTTTTGTTTGTCCCTCGAGCACTTTCTTCAACATCTCCTCCGAGATGAAAAACATCGAATCAAACTTATCATGGATGGCTGAAACATCTTTTTTTAAAATCTAAAACTTGATTTTGGAGATCTGAAATTTCAGATTTTATTTATCCAATATCCACTTCGAGGCGTTCCTCCAACACATCCATTTTATTGGCTGCCATTGATGCCCAAATTTTTGTAGAAATAAAAATCTGGATTTCGATCTTCAAAAATAGCAATTTTCTTCTTCGAAATCCTAAGAACAGCAGCTGAGTTCACCAAAACAACCCACAAAAGGTCCCAAAAACAGCTTTGATACCAATTTGATAGGAAGTACTTGTAGATCTCAAGTATTTCCTATCAATCTTCGAAAAACAGCGAGCTTTCTCCACAAAACCATGAAAACAATAGATAATTTGTATTATTTGATCAAAGGGAAACAAAAATAGCAAGATATAATTGATCCTTTATTCGAGAGGAGGATCAATCTCTCCCAAATCTCTAGACGACGCTAAAGCCCAAAGAAAACCTAGATCTAAGTGCTCTCAAATTTCAACCAAATTCAAGATGCCATAACCCTAGGATAACATACTATTTAATGCATACAAATCAAAACGAAATCCCTAAATAGTCCATACATTCAAATTTCCCTCCCAATTCCCTCAAAAACCATTCAAAATAGCTGGGAGGTCAACTCTGTCTCTATTGCGCTGGGCCGGTCCCGTGTGGATCGGCTGGACCGGTCTAATAGGCTATTGTTTGGAACCCTTATTTATTGCGTCCTCCCACCTGACGTAGAGATACGTCCTCCCAGAGCTAAAATCGCGCTAAAAAATGAGAAATACCGAGCAATATCATCATGTGAAGACCAATACCGAGTTATACCGAGCTATACAGAGCAATACAAAAAAATACCTAGTTTTTCCTAGAAAATACTCGGTATTTTTTTGTATTGCTCGGTATAGCTCGGTATAACTCGGTATTGGTCTTCACATGATGATATTCCTCGTTATTATCAAATAATACCTAGCAATACCGAGCAAAAACTGAGTTTTGGCGGTGGGAGGACATATCTCTACGTCAGGTGGGAGGATGCAATAAAAATGAGTGTTGACCTTTAACCGACCAACCTGACCGGCTTTCGCTACCCACGTTTGCTCTCCTAGATGCAAAACTCCCTCACAAGCATGGAAGAATGATCAATCTCTCCCATTCAGACACTCATGGACCCAGGAGCCTAGGAAGACGTTCGACTCTCCCTCTCTCTCTCTCTTCTCTTTCAGTCGCACCGATCTCCCTCCTTCGTGCACGACACTAGCTGCGAACGGCTTGCCCGACCACGACCAAGTTGCGAACCCCGTCCGACCCGGTTGATTCAGCACGACCTCCGTGTATGCACGTAGGAACCCGAACCAGTCTTTTGCTTCCCTCCCGCTCGCCTCACATAAGTGCCCTGACTCCGACTGGCAACACCCAGTCCGCCTCATACAGCAACACCACACGTGTGCTTCTCTGCCTCCAAGCCCTCCGATCAGGCAAATTATTGGGTCAGGTGACCGAAGCCATCTCTGCGTTCGGTCGCCAATAGAAATGCGACATCTGTTAGGCGTTTTTTTAATTTAATATGTTTGCTTTATGTCTTGTCAGAGTTAGCGACCCGACCCGATAACGCATTTCATTTGAACTTTTAAGCATTTGCCACTCTATTTTTTGCATTTTGATACCCGCGAAAGACGCAAATATCTACTGCTGTAGAAGAAAAAACGAGCCAGAAAATTGCAGAGAAGAAATGGACTGCTCAGCGAAGAGGGAGGTGGAAGAGGGCATGGAAGAGGGAGTGCATGAATCGGAAAGGATGCATGAATCGGAAGGGATGGTGCATGAATCGGAATCGGAACCTAACTTGGCCGGAAATTCCTCTGGTTTCAACATATCGGTAAGTTAGAAAGTTGTAAACAGTCAGTTTTAATATTATCGCCGCAGAAAGAAGACGTAGGTTTCAGCTCATTAGTCTTAGGATCTCTGATTTTGCGATTTTTAATAAATTTCTTTTGTCGAAAAAGTAAAAAAAAATAAAAAAACTGAACTTGTTTGATATCTAGTTGCGCTTTAAATGCGCTTTAGTTGCGCTGTAGTTGCGCTTTACTTGCGCTTTACTTGCGCTTTAGTTACGCTTTATTTACGTTTTAGTTGCGCTTTACTTGCGCTTTCAGGCTGTTTAAAAAGATGAGACAGAAGCATATGAATGTTTTTGCACTTATGCTCACGATAATGGTTTTAGTGTCCCAAAGGATCATCACAGTTTTTGGCCAAATTCTATAAAAAATAAAATCGAAGGATTTTGTTTGTTCAAAAGCTGGTTTCAAGAAAAATGATGATCATAATTCAGGAAAGAGAAAGAGATTCACTAGACCAGTTGTCAGAACTGGTTGTCCAGCCATGGTGAGGTTTGCCACAGATGAAGATGGTTACTGGCATGTCAAAAGATTTATTGAATCCCACAACCATGAATTAGCTAGCCCAGCCGACCGACACCTTTTAAGATAATGTAGGAATGTTATTGAGGAAAAAGCTTCCGTCCTAAAATCGATGACAGATGCATGGATTAGAATCGTTGATGCATATGCCTACCTTGCAGAGGAAGTTGGTGGATGTGAGAATGTTGGATTCTCTAAGAGGGATGCCTACAATTTTATTCAGAAGGAGAAAAGAGCAAGGATTGAAATTGGTGACACAAAAATTCTTTGATTCAATTATTTAAAGATCGACAAGTTGAGGACCACATGTTCGCATGTGATGTTCAATATGATGATCATGATAGATTGTTAAATTTTTTCTGGGTTGATGGCAGAAGCATGATAGATTATGAATATTTTGGAGATGTGTTGATTTTTTATACTAGTTATAGGCTGAACAAGTATAATTTTGTTTGTGCGCCATTTGTTGGTGTTAACAATCATTGGCAGAATATTTTGTTTGGGGTTGCTTTTTTGTTAGAATAAACAATTGAAAGTTTTACATGGTTGTTTAAAATATTTGTATGAATAATGGGTAATAAATATCCAACAACAATATTCACTGATCAGGACCAAGCTATGGCCAGGGCCATAGAAGTTGCATTACCTCATACTCGTCATAGATTATGCCAATGGCACATCTTTAAAAAGGTTCCATCAAAAGTTTCCATCTACAATAGCAATAATAAAGTTAGAGGACTCTTCCATAAGTGTATGAGGTGGTGTGATTCTGAGGAAGTGTTTGAGGAAGCGTGGGATGAAATGATGAAGGAAGGGAATCTTCATAACCATGAATGGTTGCAGGATCTTTATAAGATTAGGAGAAAGTGGTCAACTGCTTTCAACAAGGATTCCTTTTGCATGGGCATTTTATCAACGCAGCGTAGTGAGTGTACTAATAATGTGTGTCATGGCATTTCGAAGCCAACAAGTTCAATAACTGACTGTTTTCTTGGCTTGGAGAAGGTACTGAAGAATTGGCGGCGAAATGAGCAAGATGAGGATTACAAATGTAGTCAATCTGAAATTGTTCCCGTGATAAAGAACAGCTCAATATTAAAACAAGCTGCTAGATTTTACTCAAGAAGAATATATTCAATTTTTGAGGAAGAATTTATAAAGGCTGTGGGAGAAATGAGTATAGATTTTGTCTCAACTGATTCTTCAAAGTATATAGTCAACTACATAGAGAAAAAGAATCAAAACCATCCTTGGGTTGTTCACTTTGATGCAACAGAAGGTAACATTCAATGCAGCTGTAAGAAGTATGAAACCATGGGATTGCTGTGTTCTCATTGTTTGAGGGTTTTTAAACAGTTGGATATGGCTAAATTTCCTGAGAAGTACTTATTACTTCGTTGGTCAGCAAGGGCTCGACAAGTTTTTTATTCAGGTTACTTGCTTAATTCTAAAAGAAGTAATAATTTCCAAGGTGGTAGGGGATTCATATTCAGAAATCAGGTGAGCAGGTTTGCATATCAAATGAGCACGGAAGCTCAAGGGAATGAGGAGGCAGAGGAGTTTATTCTTTCCTCATTGCAAGACATGTATAAAAAATTATACCTAATTCTTGGTGGCAAGAAAAGAAATGAGAAGGATGTTGCGGGTTCCCAAGGTGGAACTGCTAATTTGAAAGATCCTCTAAAGCGTAGACCTAAAGGCATATCAAATGCAAGACTGAAAAGCCATTGGGAAAAGAAGAAACGACCTAAGAGTAAGCTTTTAATAACTTGTTAATTATTTAATTCCAAATCCTAAGACTAAAACTCTAGTTTCTTACAGAGAAGAAGCCTTTGGTGGGGGATAACCCAATAGATGAACCTTCTTCAACACATCCTAGTTCAACACAGATGAACTTTTCAAGCATGCCTGAATGTTTCAGTGAGGAATATATAACCGGCATACCATCAAGCCAACCTGGAGCTGAATACACCAAGTTGATGATGGATTTTCTTTCTTCGGAGTTGGAATTTAATGAATATGCAATGTAATATGATAATATTTATTTGGACTGAATGATTTCATTTATTGATTGTAATAAAATTGCGACATAGTTTAAATTTGAAATGTAATAATATTTATTTGGACTTAATGATTTCATTTATTGGTTGTAATAAAAAATTTTTTATAAATCATCTATTTGGACTTATGTAATTTGGTTCTTTTTTATTTTAAACTTTTTTAAGCTAAATAATTACGAAATATATGGTTGCCCTATACTTGCGCTATACTTGCGCTACGGTTGCGCTATGGCTGCGCTATACTTGCCCTAAGGTTGCGCTATACTTGCGCTACGGTTGCGCTATGGCTGCGCTATACTTGCCCTAAGGTTGCGCTATACTTGCGCTACGGTTGCGCTATGGTTGCGCTATGGTTGCGCTATGGTTGCGCTATACTTGCGCTATAGTTTAGCTATTGTTGCGCTTTACGGAATATAACAGATTTTAGAGAATGCTCATTAATAAACAGAATATAACAGTATGTGCACATTTTATACAACAATCAAAAAGTATATAAAAATATAATAAAATGTACATTTATAAATCATGGACAATATTTACAACAAGTTACAGATTGTTTACTTCTTTGTTTGTAGAAAAAGAAAAAATGCAAACTCTGCCCTAAATTTAGGCATATGCTTTAGTGGAAAGAAAAGGTTGGATAACAAAAACATAATAAAGGTCTTTATTTTTGTTGCATTATCAGTTAATCTGTCTAATATTGACATTTCATTTTTTATTTCAGTTGACAGAGGTCCATTTAGAGGATCAATCCTCCATTTGATATCAATGCCTCTGTTGGGCAAACCTGTCAGAAAATTTCAGCTGTTAAAAAGTTCAAAAAACATATAGCTATAAAAAATTCCAAATTCAAAATATTACCTGTCAACAAAGAAACCTCGTCAGTAGTGAATTTCAGAACATGTCCAAGGACGATGAAGCCCTCATCAGCAGGACTCCAGAATTTAAGAATCTCAAACAGAAGTGGTATACACTGCTGGAATGCGGGGAACATCAAAAATTGATGAATGTTCAAATTCTTTAATGTTTGTTCCACTTCATCATCTATGATCTCGGCAAAAGCATCACAATGTTTCCGGAAAGCAGTAACATAACATCTAGATGTTACTGGCCTTTGATAGGGAGTCCTCATCTATAACAAAAAGAAAATATTGGTGGTTATTCTGAAGGATGCAAAGCTGTATTTTTCACTGATTGGAAGCTGGAGGAAGAACTAGATATATGCGGCTTCTCTGGATTGTGATCACAATTCATTTGAAATTCAATAAATTTGTACTTCAGGGAGTCTTGATCTGCCTGAAGTTTCTCCACAATATCTTCAACACGATCCAATCTAGCTCCCAGATTTTCTTGAATTTTATTCAACATCTTCTCAAATATTTCAAAACATTTATTCTGAACAGCCTCTAAATCTGCCCTTCCAATGGGTGGCTGTTCAGCAGAAGGTTGAGTGATGTAAATTTTTTCAGTAGGTGGACGAGTAGAAGGTTGAGTTGGCGGCAGAAGTTGAGTTTCTGGTGGTTCATTATGAGGAGAATAAGGGGGAGAGAGAGGGGGAGAGGGAGGTGGGGAGGGAGGTGGGGTGGTGTCAAGTTTTTTTTCTTGCGGATGACTTAATTTTCTGGGGTGACTGCAATTTCTGTGGTTCATGCCCTGCCCGGGTTTCCAAATTTTCTATGGCAATAATATCAGCTCCGTATTTTTCGGCCTCCTCATTGCTAACATTCTCAAGACAAACATAAATCTGCAAAAAACAGAAAACGTATTGATTTATTAAAGCGCAACCGTAGTGCAACCGTAGCGCAACCTTAGCGCTAAGGTTGCGCTATGTACACGAAAAAATTACCTCACTTTTCATTAAAATTTTAAATAATTTTGCTGCATTCTCTTGTGTAAAGTATAATTCTGTATATCCCTTCCATCTCAGAAAACGCGGTCTTATTTCTGGATCGGATGGTTTATTCAAAGAAAAATATTCCAAAAACCAAATCTGTATAATGCCAAACATAAAAATTTAAAAGTTAACATTAAAAAGCATTATATATGTAGAATAACCAGTAGGAGTAGAAACTTACCAGTAGAAGAGGAAAAAAATCATTGATGTAACCCAATGATCTTTGCAGTTGAAACTTCTCAAAAATTGTGTTGAACTCCCCGACCATGAAGTTCCTTAAGCATGAAGCCCAATTAATGGAAGTGAACTCACTTAAATTATTTGCAACAGATGTGAGCCTTCTAGAGGTTTTATGGTTGTTTAGTATAAAGAAAAGGTTAGATAACAAAAACATAATAAAGGTCTTTATTTTTGTAGCATTATCAGATAATCTGTCTAATTTTGACATTTCTAGTTTAATTTCAGTTGAAAGAGGTCCATTTAGAGGATCAATCATCCATTTGATATCAATGTCTCTGTTTGGCAAACCTGTCAGAAAATTTCAGTTGTTAAAGTTAAAAAAACATATCGCTATAAAAAATTTCATATTCAAAATATTACCTATCAACAAGGCAACCTCATCAGAAGTGAATTTCAGTACATGACCAAGGACGATGAAGCCTTCATCAGCAGGACTCCAAAATTTGAGAACCTCAAAAAGAAGTGGTATACACTGCTGGAATGCGGGGAACTTCAAAAATTGATGAATGTTCAGATTCTTTAATGTTTGCTCTACTTCATCATCAATGATATCGACAAAAGCATCACAATGTTTCAAAAAAGAAGTAACATAGCATCTAGATGTTACTGGCCTTTGATACGACGTCCTCATCTATAAAAAAAAAAAATCAGAACTATATCGCAAACATAACTAAAGCGCAACAATAGCGCAACCTTAGCGCAACCATAGCACAACATTAGCGCAACCTTAGCGCAACAATACATTTCGTAATTATTTAGTTTAAAAGAAGGTTTAAATTCAGAAAAAATAAAAATTGAACACCACATTGAACATATATGCTAGTTATACAATTATTAATAAACCCTAAAATTTAGCAGAAAGCGTAAACCTTTCGTATCATTTGTTTCATCCATTTACGAAGAGAAGAAGCGTGAAAAATCAGAAAATAAACATTTGAACAGTACATTACATTAAACAAACAATGGTAAAATTATAACTAAACCAAACCCTAAAATTTAACATATAACTTAAACGCAATGAAAGAGCAAGTAAAGCGCAAGTTAGGCGCAACCATACCTCTTCCTGATTGATGATCTTCTACAATCTCGTCGTCTACCTCTGGCGGGAATAAGCTATTGCAGAACATAAAATATTTGAAGAAATCCGAGAGCGCTTACCAGAGATGGAATAACAGTGAAAATGTCGCTTGAAAATAAAATACGCGCCGTTTCCATTCTTTATTTTCCGGAATTCAAATGAAATGCTTTATCGGGTCGGGTCGCTAACTCTGACAAGACATAAAACAAACATATTAAATTAAAAAAACGCCTAACAGATGTCGCATTTATATTGGCGACCGAACGCAGAGATGGCTTCGGTCACCTGACCCAATAATTTGCCTTCTGATCATGCCTCAAACTCCCTTGCCCGAGCGGCCTCTATCCATTTAGCCGAACCAAAATCTTCGTTCGTTTGAAGTAGTGAGTGAGAAAGAAAATGTTATTTGTATATAATAATAATAATAATAATAATAAAGGAGACGATGCGATTGCCAGTTGTAGGAGCCGAAGACTAATTCCGGGGTCAATTCTTCCCCCAAAGCCCTCCCAAAGCCCTCGATCGTCGATTTTGATTCGATCAAGCGGACTTAGAAGGGCGAGTGCCATTCTCAACCTCCTATCGAGGCTTTGGAAATTCCTAGAAAACATGGAATTTTAAAAAATTATCCTAACAAGTATCGTGTTCGCCAAAATGGAGCATCAGAAGACTAATTCCGGGGTTGATTCGTCCCCCGAAGCCCTCGACCGTTAAATTCTAACCGACTGGTGGACTGGAAAGGGAAAGTTCCCTCCCGACCTCCCCTCGCGGGGATGGGACATCAGGTGGCTGTTGAAATTAAACATTAATTAACCCATTTAAAATAAATTTAAAAGTTCACTAAAATTAAATTATTATTTAATTTTATTAAAAATTAATTAATTAAAATTCAATGGGTCAAAATGAAATTTAAACTTAATTGTTTAATTTAAAATATAATTAAAACTCCAATGAATTAAAACTTAATTAATTGATCAATTCAAAATATATTTAAGTTTAAAATTTTATTAATAAGCTGGGCATGTAATTTAAAAATAAAATTGAATTTTGATGAATTAATCAACTAATTAATTAAATTAAAACTAAATTTTTATTCAATGAATTACCTAATTAATTAATGCAATCAAATTAAAAAAAGTAAAATACAATAAAAGAAAAAAATCAATGTTTGCATTAAACAAACTCAAGTACAACACACACGAATTAAAGTATAAATCCTAAAACTAAAACACTAAAACTCAAAACAAAAAAAAACTCCAAAAACTCCTAAAAAACCTAAGCTCTCTAAGCTCCAACTCCAGCTCTAGCTCCTGGCAAACTGCAGCTATAAACTCCAGCTCCTGGCAAGCTCAAACTCCTGTGCAGGCCCCACACACCTGTAAACAAGTAAACAAAACTCAATGCAGGGTGGTAAACAAAACTAGTATTGAAAAAGAGAAATTAGAACTGTAGGCAAAACTAGCACTGTAACACTAGTATTGGTGTCGAGGCAGTAAAGTATGCCAAACTACATAACTGCTAAAACCCATGCTATGTTAAATCGTCGTTAACCTAAGTTCACCCGACATCTTCTAATAAAGGTCGTAAGTCCAAAAAAAAAAAGTTTGTAAGTCCAACTTTAGTTAATGCATTAGGGGAAATCTTTAGGTAAAAGTAACCTAACCCTAAGTCCCACATACATGTCACTTCTAAGCAAAGCAGTAAGATCCACATGCTTGTAAACCTCTAAGTGAGCAATCCTAAATCCAAATAACCAAG